GAACGAGAGAAAGTGTCGGTGGAGCTGGTATGTAAATGTATTTGTTTAGTGGAAGGCTTTGATTGGGAAGTAGACATTTCGGCGATACGGGGCTATATTTGCATATTCTGCCAACGTACCGGTCAGTGACCGGATCGTACGAACGAACATTCGTTCGCATAAATAGCAAACACAGTGTTCTTCTTTTACGAATTTTTTTTTGGTGAAACTATGGAGTAAGGTGGGAGCAAGCAGTGCACTGCTACCCAACACTTACTGCTAGTACAGTAGCTTCCCTACCCTCCGATTTGAACATCTTCCAACAAGATTGTGCTCAGGAAGTCAGTGCTCTAAATGTACAATCGAAATCGCCCGGATCGATCACTACTGAGCTTTTGATGCTACTGGGATGCAACCATACTGCAAACACAGCTAGCAAGTCTTCTTTCCTCCATGATTTTTCCCTAGGTGCACTGATTCTTTATCACCAAAATTATCCGACGCTGAATTTTTAGCCCGAGGCAATAAGTAGGCTAGAGTCGCTTCAAAAACTGCCCAAGTTGTTGCTTCCATTTTTCTGTTCACATAGCTTTGAATAAAATTAGGGTGATGTGATAGCACTGTTTTAATAAATTCATTTCGGATAAATTTTGCCACTATTTTCAATTCTAACAGTTTCTAGATGATTATAAATTTCTTTTATATTGGTTTGCATTTTTGCCATTTTCTTTCTCACAATATTTTTTTTTTTGTTACTTTCTAGCAATTATGCCTCTCGTCTTACGTGCAGAAAAAATGTATTCACTTTAAATGATTTCGTTTTGTTATCTTTCTAGGCAGTCGTGCTGCGCAATTCTTCTCACACGTTGGTAAGCTAAAATACACTTGATAGACCTGTGCAGAGCATGCTAGGATATTTTTTTCTTGCTGGCCACAGTGGAGAACCCATGAGTTTTTTTTTCCATGCAGGAAAGATGAGCCCTTGTAAGTGACCACTTTTCGCATTCGTGCGTCCTTGCCTTCAACACAGCCGACAGTCTCTCGGTGAACAATCTCTGGTTGGAGATTGTGGCGCATTGGCTGTTCATTTTGGAAAAAAAGTTCTTACATGAATTTTCAGCAGCTCACAGCTGATCATCAGGGTTACCAAAATCCTTGGGGATGATGATGGTGTAACCTTTGGTGTTGTTGAGTATATTGGCCTCAATCATTTAAATGCCAGCTATCTGGCGCTGTTTGTCTTCATTTGCTAGCCGTTCTCCTATCTACTGCCACTACATATTCACTACTATCTCAGTGCGACGCGTACTAAATTTGCGCACGTTCGGTGTGTTTTTGCACGATTTCTTGCAGCAAGTTTTTACAGCGGTAACGCCAAAAGCGTTCATTGCTTCACAGTTTGATATGTGCACTTGAACTGTCTCTGCCTCTTCTTCCAACCTCAGAAGAACTTAGAGGGAGAGAGACAGAAACCGACTGGTTGAGCTTGAGGGATACTCATTGAGGCAATAGTAAGATACCAATTATTTTTTTTTTGTCCCATTAAGAATTCCCCTTCTCGTTTCCAATGCCATACCGTAAATCAATCATTTGTATAGTACCAATTCGTGGGGGACATCATCATTAGCAACGATGGTGACGAAATGTTCGTTTATTTTGTGAACACAGTGGAATGAATGCCTATTTGTCGTTTTAACGACCGCTCTCTCCCTCTCCCATGTTCCACCCGGCACCCTGGTTCCTGACCGGACACGAAGAGCACTGTTTACATTGGATCGAGTTCGCCAAGAGCCGCAAGGTGTATCTGTGAAAGCGCCCCATCGTCTGCCCTCAACATTGTATTTATCCAGTATGAGAGCCATCAAAATTTTCCGGACTCGTTACTCAAGCGTTTCAAAGACAGCAAACTTTCCTGCTTGCTCAAGGGTCAGTTGAAAACGGCAATGCAAATAACGTATGCTCAGTAGAACTGAAATTTAAAAGGTTTTCTCCTGCTGCTTTGCTAAAAGACAATTTTTTTTGAAGAGGAAATTCTGAGAAGTCTTCATTTTCCAAGACATTTTAATTTTCTGAAATTAATTAACCAGGCTTCATTATCGCATATGTAAAGCTAACAATTTTAGAACTGGATGAATCAGGTGATTGCCTTCTGTGTGGTTAAAGTGCGCGGCATGAATTTTCTTACACAGGGGATGAGTGTAATACTGGAGTACTAATGAGAGCCCTTAATTTGGAGCGTCTAAGATTTCAGTAATGTTGACAGGCTCTCTTCGCTGGATTGTTGAAGGGTTACTTGCATACAAGAGAGATGAGAGCATCTGTAACGAAATTCGAGATTTGTGCAGACCATGCGCCATCAGTAACAAAACACTGCAGCTGCCTAGAGAATACCGCCAAATCTCAGTTGTTGAAAATTTTTAAAATATCGATTCTTAGATGCTTCTACTTGTTCTGGAATTGGTTTAATTCATGATATTTAGTTTGAACTACTGTAAAAAAGCTAACAAATTATCGTAGTAACGGTAATAAATGTAGTAAGAAAAAGAAAAGTGGAATCCTGAACTGAAATGTTTCGGTCCACTAAATCACATACATTCCAAATCAGTACCACAACTGGACCTCGTCAGTAAGATGGCTGTGATAACTAATGAACGAAAATCAAAAGCCTATTGCTGAGCAATCATCGATAGGGGAAACCATCGAATACTTTTGGTTGCAGTGACTGATTTTAGCATGTATTACCACTCCTGCTATTTCCTAGCCTCTCCATTTCATACCGCTAAAATCACAAAGCCCATCTGGACAATTGATTTGAGTCCAAGAACTTCCGAGTGTCATCGCTGCCTGTAGGAAGTAGATGTAGAGAAAATTCTAGTTGTATTATTAGAGGCATTATTTTTCGAAATTTTTTTTAATAGTGGAACAGTATTTTTAAGTAAATATGCTACTACAGACTGTTGAAAATTTACCGTCAAAAGACGCCGCCCTCTGAAAAAAAAATCGTTGATTTCTCTTAGCTCAGGAAAAAATGACGACTCGCTACGCTGCTTGTTCGGGCAATCTTGATAAAATCGATGTCCGATTTCAAGTCGGCACTGTTTTATGGCAAAAAATATGCATATAATGGCGAGCCATTTCTGCTAAGCAGTGCACCATTCATCTATTACTTTTATTCGTTCCGAAAGCAATTTTTTTCGGGATTTCTTGCCGGCACATTCGAGATTGCGATAACGCACGCGTACCATTGTCTTCTCGGCCTCTTTTACAAAGCATTTCTTGTAAAACTGTTTGCTGAAATGGAAGGGAAAAAAAAATAAAGCAATTTCGATCAGATATGGACGCGGCGATGTTTTGGCGGTAAGAGGTGTTACAGTGTGCAGCACAACGAAGGTCGTGTATTCCAGCCCCATCTCCTGTATTTTCAGTTTCTACCGTCTATCGGGAAAGTGATGCAAGATTTCGAGAATTGATACTGAAACGGACGAAGATGCGTGCGCTTTTTTGTCGCATCAGCAAACCGGCCGTACAAAAATACACTTTTCACATACATTTTACAAGAAATTTTTCGAACGAGGAAATGGTTTGGGAGCGAGAGGAGCAAGAAGAAGAAGGGATTTGGCGCAAGAAATAGGCTTATCTCGATTCCTCTCTAGACTTTAATTTTGAACATATGACCGAAGCTGAAAGTATGAAGTCCCATCCACAAAACATTGCGCTTGTGCTGTTGAAAATGGCTTAGCTGTAGGGTGGGACAAGTTTATATTCTGGCCTGGCACAGAAGGATTGTATTGAAAGTTACTAGCAAAAAGACTGCGAAATTACACGGCCATCTTCAAGAGTCAATTACAGGCTGAATTTCTGAAAAGAACTTATTATTTTGCACTATACTAATTTTATTATGGCTAATTTTATTTCATTTTTTCTTTTTAACTTCTGCTCAAAATTTTCTTAACTATATTATCAATCGTATTTCTCCGATATCCCCATCTATGAATTTAGGAGACTCGGAGAGTAGCAAGAGGTACCAGTTAAAATTTATAAAATTTTTTGTTTTTTTCTAAATTTTTCTAATTTTTCTTCAAATTCTGTAAAACCCGGTGCATCATATTTTTGCGGTTCGTCTTCAGCCACGAAAGAGATACAACTCTTCTCTCAAATAGAATTTTTTTTTGAGGCGTCAAATATATTACGGTCGGTCGGTTGTTGCCTTCTTGTCCAAAATAATTTATATGCGGAATGTGTTGGGACGGTTGATTAAGTCGGGGAGGGCTCGGATGGCGCCACTCCAGTAATTTGATATACGTATATGTGTGGCAGCAGCAGCAGCAG